GTTTTTCAACATCTTGACATAATTTTTATTTAAAGACAATGGAATTTAACACTAGAAATTTTGAATTGGGTTGCCCCCGCCCCCCCCCCCAAAAAAAAAACAACAACAACAACAACAACAACCCAGAAGTGGTACCAGGGTTAGTTAGGAGGCCCATGTCGTTTATCATTTTATTTTTAAGAATAGTTTTCTCTTTTTTTAAAAATTAATTTTACATTGGTATACCGTTAATTTCACTGGAAAAACCACCCCCTTCCCTTACACATCAATACTGCCATTACTTCTAGCAACAGTAATTCTATAATTCAAAACGTATTCATTTTCTAAATCATTCTAATATAAACATATACATGTAACAAATATAATATTGTTTACACTTTTGCAACCTGTTACATGGTCCATGTAGAAACAGCACCAGGAAGAGGATAACAAGCCCCCCCCCCCTGTTTTCTTAAGCTAGGAAGTATCAAAACATGATTCTATTAAAATTAGCAGTTTGGATACAAAAAGCAATGATGATTAGCAGTTTCCATATTTAGTGCATTTAGAGGGTTGTCTTTCAAACCTTCTTACATACCATACTTGAAGCAGCAATAATATAATAATCTACAAAACTTCAAATACAGAAGTCCATAGACTGAGGTAAATGAATTTCAACATGTATGATTATAATTGAAATATCATTGATTAATTCAATCTTTGATATAGACTGATAGATCTTTATCACTCAAATTTCAAGGAAATTTCTTTCTGCCCAGCCCTCAGTTTCATCCTATAAGATGGTAGTTGACATTGTTAAAATGTTAATGTTTATTCATTGATGATTAGTTATCTTTAATTATTTGAAAGTTGACAAGATGATAAATTCATTAGCTTTTTTAAAATGTGGTATTCTACAAACATATAATACAAATAATAAATAAATAGTATGTAAATATTCAAGTTTAAACCCATCTCTACTGTCCTCTTTCATTATATGAGGGCCGGTAGCATCTTTAAGACGTAGTCCCACGTAGATGTCTTCTGCATTCATCGATGAAGTTGTAGGCTAGTTTTCAGAAGAAAGGGCTGTGATGATAACCCACGTCTGTTGAATGGAAAAATGAAATAAGATACAGTGTATAAGAAAATAAACAACAAATAATAACATACACCCTGATACCTGCTCTGACAAAAAGAGGAAGGACTAATATTCACTTGGGATTCTAGTGGGCAAACCTAAACTATTTTTCCTACAAGACTAGTTAATACTGACCACATGTTAGATTATTTCTAATGATCCCATTAAGACAATAGGCCTGATGGAGCTTGGATCAGACAAGTACGAAATAAGTAATACCGGTACATGTACATGTACAATGTACTTGTAATGTAAATTCGTGGTCATAATTGAATAATACTCGGTTAAGTATGGGACATAAAATGACCAAACAACTTGGAACAGAGAATGTACTGGAAATAATGCTATTGAAACATACGTTATGTAGACTTATTGACATTTTATTTTTAATCTAAATCACAATTGTGATATTCAGTCAAGTATTATTTTACAAGTCAATGGACAATGAAAACTATATTTGTCAGATCTATAACTTTCTACATGATATGATACATGAAATAAGTTTATTTGGGGTACCTGCATGTATATTAGCACACTTGCTCGTATGAAGTGTATAGTAGGCTCGCATCTCTAGATATGATCCTGTCAATATCTGTTATTTGTTCCTCTCCTGAGTTTGTAAACCACCATGGCTTCATCATCCACTGTAGCGAAGCATCATCCTACATGAGAGAAGACAATGTAGGTACTTCAATTTAAAAGTGATAATAATGGATACACATCAACCATAATACATCTTATAAACAGACGTTCATTAATTAGGTGGTCTGTCGATGACGGATCACCTATTGATTTTGTTAGAATTTTCTTTCTTTATTCTTTCTTTATTAGGTAGTCTGTCGATGACAGATCAACTATTGATTTTGTTAGAATTTTCTTTCTTTATTCTTTATTAGGTGGTCTGTCGATGACAGATCACCTGTTGATTTTGTTAGAATTTTCTTTCTTTATTCTTTATTCTTTATTAGGTGGTCTGTCGATGACAGATCACCTATTGATTTCGTTAGAATTTTCTTTATTTATTTATTTATTCTTTATTTTTATTTCTTCCGTACACTTTTTTGTGCACACGTTTACTCGAAATCGACATAGTCAATTTCCTTTAAATTTCTGTCAGTCATCAGGCCCTATGATTTCAAGTCTAATTAACTTTTTCAAGGTCAATAGTTCATCGTGACGTCATCCAGGCGCCATTTTGTAAAAATCAGGTCATTATCATATCTCGATAATGAGTCATCAAAAATAAACCATATTTGGTATACATCAACTTGAGGTCAAAGGTCAACTTAAAATGTCAACAAATTCCGCGCGCGCAACTCGACGCGCACGTACGCGCACATCAAAATTTTAAAATGCTCAAATTCGTTCCAAATTTTGATTGCACACGTTTCAGGCCATTGTAAGCATTTTCAAAATTTTGCGCGAGAGCACTTATTTTTTGCACGTTTCCGCGCGTAATCGCGCGTACTGACATTTTACAACATAGAAACGCCAAATTTTCTCTATCATATCAACCACATTTTTCCAAGCATTTTGATACCTTGTTCACCTTGTTCTGACCGGTGATAACGCAATGAGCGTCCGTCAAAGTTGACAGCATGTGCGGATCTGCATTATCTTTATCCACAATACATGGGCAAAAACATGCCTATACAAAATCCATTGTAACTCTTCAGAATAGATGGGAACTCCCAATATTTTTTCATATTTGGATAGATTATGAGTTGGAAATATGATTTCATGTCTCATGTGACCCTCAATTAACTCATGACGTCATCATAATGGCCTCCAAACTCAAAATTTCAATTTGCATATTATGACGTCAGCATATTTTTGGAAAATTGATTGTATCTCTTAATATTGAGCAATTTTCTTTCAAATTTTGATATGTTTTAGCTAACAATATTCTCTACAAATGCAGTCGTCACGATATTTCATTTTGACAATGGCATCATGGCGTATTTTTGCGATTAAAGGAGGCATGTCAATTTTTCACATTTTGCGTGTATTCTTTATGGGACATGACTTTTTCTCAAAACTGGATTCTACATTCTTGTCTTTCGCGAGCAATATCTCCGTCGTTTTATCTTCGTTTACGCTGAGCTTTGAGAATGTTGTAGCTGAGACAATATGCTATCGTAAGTGTGCCCTCTATTTTTTCGATCAGATGCTGGGATCATGTTCATATTTCACTTACAAAGTGGGATTTGAGAATTCCATTTTTCGTTTACGTGTAATCTCTATTGGAAATGTTTTGGTATATCGGGAACGCACTTGACTTCCGACCTCGAGGTCCCTGGTTCGAGTCCGGGCGTCTCCAACAATTTTTTCTTCACTTTTTTTCTTTTTGACCTTTCACTGTACCATCTCCTTTTAATATTAAAACACGTACAATCGCAAATAATGTAATAAACAACCATATTTACCTTATTATTCCCCTATTATCACTTGATCCATTACTTTTTGCGTGTAGTCCCTATGGGAGATGACTTTTTCTCAAATCTGGATTCTACATTCCTGTCTTTTGCGAGCAACATCGCCGTTATTTCCGCTTGGTTTTTGTTGATTTTGGAGTATGTTGTAGCTGAGACTATATGCTATATAAATGTCCCCTCATTTTTTTCAATCAGATGTCATCATGGTCTGTTGATGATTATCATCAACATCATCATGATCATCATCATCATCATCAACATCGTCATCACCATTACTATCAAGATCATGATCATCATTGTTTACATGTCTATATAACTTCTCCCTTTTTCAATATAGTAAATATATTTTAATCTATTATAAGACTTGAAGACAGACCACCTTATTCGTCCTCGTGACGAATTAAATTCTAGTTTTATTTTGTGTTTTTCTTCATATGCATTGCTCAAGAAGTAAAAGGACCACTTACAAAAAAGTGATGAGGGTTCCTGTGTTAACTCTACATGTACATGTATGATCATGTAGTGCTTTGAATGTGCATTAGACATCGTTCTTCTTCACACAAGACCTCCTGTAAATAAGGACAAATTACCTTTGTAAACAAAGAAATGAAAGATATCAATATTTGTGTGCTAAGTGCAGAACTAGAATAAAATATACCCTCCACACTATACGCTTGCAACATAAACTTAGTTCCATTTCCATTTTAGTGAATTAATAGGTGGTCGTTTAATATTTACCTGCATGGGACTTTCAGCTTCATCTTGCAAATTTAAGAAATGTTGTAAAGTCTAACTCCTTCCAGCTCTTCATCAGTTTCAATCTGTTGGAACAAAAAGAAAACAAAATCAATATGACAATCAAGGCGTCCCTTTCTCCTTAACAAAATAAAAATAGATGTACGCCTAGCATAAAAGATATTTTTCATGTCATGGTTGGCCTGAATTTAAATGGTGTTGAAATCAACATTCCTATTTAATGGACCACAGTACAAAGTAATGTATATGGCCTATGATTATGAATATAAATTAGTCTTAGACTCTAGTCTAGGCCCTATGCAGAATTGGTTTATTAAAACAAGAAGAGGTGGACTAGATCTACATAAGTAAACAAAATTGTGGACTAGGGGTCTTCTCTTACACAAACAAAAATAGATTTATCAACATGAACTGCACAATTTGGAGAAGAAAAAAATCTTTAATAGACTCTAGGTCTAAATTAAAATTAATAATAGGGGTCAAGATCTAGATCTATAGTGTCTAGATCTAGGCCCCTAATGACAACTTGACAAGCACGCTGGACCCACACAAAATCTAAATATTAAATAAGCAAATCCTAGTGTTGTTGTATTTTAAACATTTTTATTAATAAGTTCCAGGTTTACATCTAAATGAAATAGGATTTAGAGTTAATTTTGGTCTAAATAAAGTTGACATGCACCACGTACCGATGATGCAACTGAGCGAACGGATGGCCGGCACTGAGCCATCAGATTCAGAGTCCACATCTACAGATTTTAACAAGAATTAATCCACTTGAATTATCAAAACAATCATGTTTCATAGATTATTTTAAGGTGTAACGTTAAATTTAGATTTAAATTCAATCGACGATTGGTGAATTATACTCATGATGACGATCAAATCTGAAATAAAACCCGATTAGAAAGTCTGATCTTGATAAAGATGAGCACCGAAATTCCCCGGGGTGGGCCTGCCAAAACCTCGCAGCCCTAACTGGAGTATACTAGGGTGAAATGACGGCAAACCGGAGTCAAACTACTTCATGACGATGAAAATCAAAGTGCAATTTCAAGAGCAATATTTTCCTAGTCTTTTCCCAAAAAATCTGTTGAGAACTGTCTCAAAATGTAACGAAATTACCGTAGATCACAAAGACTATTGCAGCTTTTTCAAAATTGATGACTTAATTCACTTAATCTACTCATATTTCAATCAATTACTCACCCATTTAGACCGGGATGCAAAGCCCCAAAAGTCGATTTCTTGTGACCACCGTTAGGCAACTACCTTATATTCTCAGATATTATGTATAAATATTATAAATGTCTTGTCTCAAACTCGACAAGCGTAACGATGGAACATTTTTTAGTAATTTGAAAAAAACCGAGAAAAATATATTTTTTTTAGCACGATCGTAAACCAACCAGCTTGCGCGTTTCACCTGCTTATGAAAGGATGAATCCTTTCTTGACCAATCGCATCCCTCGTTGCAATTCACCTTCACTGTACAAGATGGACGCGTACACGTCGTCATCAATGTCGTCGGAAGCTGATGATTCTGAGGGAAAAACGTCTTCTTACTGTTTCATGCACGCAATCGACACACATGGAAGAGTTATTCCCTTTTCAGAGAAAAGCTTCAACAAGTTTTTAGAGTGTTCCACCCTATGGAAAGAGTTAGAAAATCGTCCGGAAAGTGTCATCGCATCCAAAGCAGACGGTCTTCAATTTGACGATGTATGCACAACAACAAGGTGGGCTATGCTATACTACGTAGTTTGTATGATCATGATGATGCCATGGCCATGTTTAGTTTCATTGTAGACATCTATACTCTGAATCTAATCATGTTCGTACCAATATAGTATGATGTCTAGATGTGAAATATATTGTGCTTTACTGCAATTTAGGTGTCATAAATTGTATCTGAATTGCAATATTAAAATTATGAAAATCTAATGTCATGAGCAGGTGATGAATTTTGTACAAATGAGTCAAACTCAATGATTGATCATTGAAATGATTGATGAGTGAATGTTCACTTCCTACATGTACAGGCTACACAAAAAGTATGTCTAAGGTCTAGATCTATACTTTCATTACTGATATGGATATGTGCCGGCTGCGGGCTGTGCACATGTACTTGCAGAGTAGGCAGTAGTATGCCCATTATTTTCCTGAATGTTGATTTTATGAGACTTTATCAACTTTGTCTTTTGTCTGACTTGGAGGTTTTTTTCTCTTTTTCAATTTTGATTTAATTTTAAGTAGGCCTAACAATAACAGAGCCAACATTGAATGAAGCTTATGTTAAGCTAGATAATTTGAAGTTTTGATCGATTCTTATCTCGTACTTCAAAAGGTAAGGCAGTTGGTGTTCGAGACGATGAGGAGGGCATAACAATAACATCGCAGGAAAATATATTTCAGTAGAAAATTTGTATGGTATAAGGATAAGGTCTTGTTAAGGATTTAAAATTAGAGCTGTTCATAAGCACAGTATTGTTAATGGACAAAATAATAATTAATTGATGTGTCCTGATTATTTACATAGAAAACGACAAGGGAGGGCAGGATACCACGTAGAGTGCTACCGGCACTTCTGTAATCTCACTTCCATCAGGCGAGCCAAGGATAAGTCGAGGAAAGCACAGATATCAACAGGTAATATTTTGTGCATACATCTTGTAGCACAGTTTATTTTACTTTTTAAAACTGTTCATATTATGTTAGTTAATTCCTATAAAATTGAAACTTACATTTATTTATGATATAAAGATTAGAGCATGGAGCACAGCTGTTAATATTATTTAACAGTAACAAATGTAACAAGTGGTCATAAGCTTAACAATTACAACAAATTACAAAAAATATATTTTCTATGCTTTAGTATGTAGGATGTACATGTACATGTAATATACAGGGTATCAGTTGAATGATGTTAATTGAAATAAATATGTATATTTCAGTATTGAGGCAAAGCTTTGTACTTTTTCTATTTTCACAGAAGTTGATGGAGTTTTGGCAGCAAGGAACCTTCAGGAGACGTCAGATGCGTGGGTTGAGCCAGAGCCAAAGCGTCTGTTACGGTCAGATGCCACCAGCAGCCCCTGTCCAGGCAGACCTCATGTCCTACCCATTGAGTGTGTAATATGTAAGAGTACCAAGTATGTTAAAGAAAGTTTTTCTCAGAAAAGGAAAGTAGAGAGGCTTATAAGATGTGAAACACTTTCAGGGGGGCAACTTGTTAAAGCTGCTGAAATCCGCAACGATGAGAAATTGCTCCTTAAAATCAGGGGAAAAGATCTTGTAGCACTCGAAGTTCGTTATCACCGGTCTTGTTACCTATGTTATTGTAGAGTAGTGAAACCTAAAGTAGAAAGTGATGTCCATTTGAAGCAGAGCTATGTGGTCTCGTATGTTAAGTTCTGCCAAAATGTAATAGAAAGGAGGATAATACGTGGGCAGGAAATTCTTCGTCTGACCAAGCTCTTGAAGCTTTTTGTTAAGACAGTAAAAGAGGTAGAAGGTTTGGAAGCAGCAAACTACAAAAGTGCGAACCTGAAACGAAGATTGAAAGAGTCCTACCCTGTCCTGTGTTTCAGCAGACCATCACGACAGTACGAAAGCGAAATAGTATTCGTAGAGAGCCTTGGTGTGGAGGATGTCATAGAGTCAGCTGTAGTTGATGTTTCCAGTGAGGAAAGTCAGAGTGAGAGTGACGGTAGTATGTATACTACAAAGCAAGTACGTACAGATGAGCGCAGTCTGAGAACTTTATATGCTGCTGCACAAATCATCAAGACTTCGCTAGATGACATGGACATGAAGACAACCTGGCCTCCAACATCTGATGACCTTAACATCACGCAAAGTAAGAAGCTCATCCCTTGGCAACTTTTCAATTTTCTTGGATGGATGTCAGGAGTCAGTCACGAGCCAAGAGAAGAGAAAGTAACAGTTTCTACAGATGATGAAAGAAAGGTTCTCTCCATAGCACAGGACATTGTATATCTGAAAACTAAAGGGAGATGTGTTTTACCAAAACACCATGCACTAGGGATGTCAGTAAGGCACCTAACAGGGTCAGCTAAACTCATTGGCATCTTGAATGGGCTCGGCCACAGTGTGTCAAGGTCCGTAGTACTTGCACATGATACTGCCCTTGCCAAACGACAACTTGCCTTGGGTGATCAAATACTTCCGGATGGTGTTCAGCCTATCTTCACCACTCTTGTTTATGATAACAATGATTTTGGAGAGGAAACTGTAAGTGGCAAAGGTACTACTCACAATACCAATGGAATCATTGTCCAGCATCCCATTACCCAACCAGAGCGAGAACCTTCAAAGATTGCGATACCAAAGTCCAGGAAGATAGCATTCGAAGTCCCTCCAGTGGAGCTCGTGACTTACTTTGGACGTAGGAAAATTGGACCTCAACCATTTGACAGACTTGGCCTGGAGTGTGAGGAGTACCAAGATGCACAGAGGTATGCAAGAGATATTGACATAGCCTGCAGGCTGTTGAAGACGGTAGAGGTTGGTGAGAAATTGCTCCCAGGATGGACAGGAATGAATGTCATGCTGACTAAACCCGTCTCAAAGCAGTGTACTGTCGGCTACCTTCCAATAATTGATGCAAGTCCAACAGAATTTGACACAGTTAACACCATTCTCACTACTACCCTGTCAATAGCCGATGCCCTCAAGCAGGAATCAGTTGTACTTGTTTTTGACCAGGCCATCTATTCAAAGGCCCAGCAGATACGATGGGTGAATGAAATTTTCCGCAAGAGGATCGTCATTCGTTTGGGTGCATTTCACACTGCCCTATCAATGCTTGCATGTATCGGGAAACGGTTTGGAGATGCTGGTTTGGAGAACCTCATGATAGAGTCGAATATTGTAGCCCAAGGTTCCATTAACGGGGTTATCAGTGGACACCACTACAATCGAAGCATCCGAGCTCACAAGTGTATCATGGAAGCCATGGAACGTCTACGCTGGCAAGCCTACATAAGCTCCCTCTCAGATGTGGACTACGCATCAACATACGAGATCCTTGCTAAGCTTCAATCGGATTTTCCCACTTCTTCTTTCACAGAGTTTGTGCGAGGAGAAGAATTTCAGGCTATGGCATCTTCCTATCGTTCTTTTGTGAAACAACGTTCAACACAAGATCCAACATTTGCTCTGTGGTCAAGCTACATAGAGATGGTGGAAGTCATCCTCCTGTTTCTGCGGGCTACAAGGCAAGGAGACTGGCAATTACACCTTTCTTCAATTCGCAGCTTCCTTCCCTGGTTTTTTGCATATGATCGCACCAATTATGCAAGATATCTACCTGCCTATTGGCATGAGATGAGTCATCTTCCCAACAGTCATCCTCTAATCTACAAGGCTTTCATGGAAGGGAAGTTTGTTGTCCATCGTCAGACAGAACACGGATTCTGTGGAGTGGCTTGTGACCAGACAATTGAACAAACTTGCAACAGGGACACAAAAACAAAAGGCGGCATGATTGGCTTCACAAGGAACAAAGGGGCGGTTGCCCGTTGGCTTCTCTCCCAACATGAAAGAAGTGCAATCAGCAAGCAATGTGAAGAGATGGCTGGAAAGGACCACACATCTGCACTTAAAAAAGATCTAACTGTGTCCAACATGGAGAAAGTTGAAGGGGATGTCTGTGCAGTTGTCGAAACAGTAGAGGCCATGATCAATCCCTTCCAAGAAAATAACGAAGAACTCCTTCACTTAGCATCCGGAGTGATAGCTTCTGCTGATGTCTGCAAGGACTATACTGCAGCATATACAAGTGGGGATGAGGCTTTTAAGACATTCTGTGAAGAACGTCTTCAGGGAGATGGAGACTTGTTCAAAGTCCTTAAAAAGCAGAAAAGAAAATCCTTCGCTACTATGAACAAGGCCTCGACGACAAAAGTAAAGGGGAAAGAGGTAACCATCAAAGCAGATCGCAACCTTTTTCAGCGTTTGGTGATTATTGCAGGAGCTAGGAAACTGGATATTCGCAATATGATGACATATAATCTCGGTCCTCTCCCACTTGCTCTTGCCACCATCGACGGTTCATTAACCAAGACTACAAAGGCTTCCTTACTTCATGCCATTGAATCAAGTGTAGAGCCTGCTCCTGTGGTGGAAGGTATTCCACTTAACAGTGTTTGGATTGTTGATGGGATGGCGATGCTGCAAGAAATCCCTCAGAAGGCTGTGCCAGGTACTTTTGGTGAACTGTCAGAGTGTGTAATTCAACAGCTGGTTCGCCTTGCACATAGTGCCCACTGTGACACTGTACACTTTGTGGTCGACACTTACCGATCCCTGAGCATCAAGGCAGGAGAGCGAGGAAGACGAGCTGCAAGTGGAAGCCAGCTCACAAAGATCTATGGTACTGAGCAAAAGGTGCCCAACCAGTGGAAGAAATTTCTTTCATGTAGTCAAAACAAAGAAGCCTTGATCCGCTTCCTCTTCAAGACGTGGAAAGAGAACCCAACCCTGCTTCACGATATCAAAGTTATCTTGGCTCATGATGAGGAATGTCATTCGCTGCAAAATATGGATGGCACAGTCAAGGTAGTAGTTGTAAGGGAACTTGAATGCAACCACGAAGAAGCGGATACCAGGCTTTTCTTGCATTGTCAGTATGCTGCTGCATCTCTCCCTTCATCTTCAAGCAGTACACCAACAGTCATCATAAAGAGCCCAGACACTGATGTTTTTGTTATTGGTGTAGCCAAGGCTGACCAGATTCAGGCCCAGCTACTCTTCCACACCGGTAGAGGCAATAACAAGCGTACACTCAACCTGACAGCTATACGATCTCATCTCGGAGATAGTGTTGCTAATGCTCTCATTGGCCTCCATTGCTTTTCAGGCTGCGACTCAACAAGCTGTTTCTATGGCAGGTCTAAGAAAAAACCATTGAAACTCATGACTGAATCTGTTGATTTCCAAGCAGCTTTCCAAAAGTTTGGTGCTACATTCTCAGTAGAAGAAAGTCTGGTAGACACAATGGAGAAATTTGTGTGCAGACTGTATGATCAAGATTGTACTAGTGTTAATACAGCTCGATACAATAAGTTCTTGATGGGCACTAAAGCTGAAATGAATATGCCCCCCACACATGATGCCCTAGTAAAACACCTCATGAGAGCTAACTATCAATCTGCTATACATACCAGATGCCTTGAACAATATCCTGTGATCCCTAGTCCACACAATCATGGATGGAAGGTAACGGACACAAACATAGAAGTAGTGTGGGGTGACCTTCCACCTGCACCAAGTACCCTGCTTGAGCTTACATATTGCAGTTGCAAGAAGACCAGCTGTGAAGAACCTAAAGCTGCAGGAAAGGGTCGATGTTCATGTCGACAGCACAACATAACCTGCACCGATCTGTGCAGGTGCATCAATTGTAAAAATTCAGCTCAAGCAGAGCATAATATGGATGAGGAAGATACAGACAATGAAGATGAAGACTAGATGTCTGAAAGCTTATGTATCTTGCCGCATTCATTCACAGTAATGTAAATTTGTTCTGGTCTGAACTTGTTTGACCTCTGACATAATTAGGTTAGCTGTGAGTATGTGACCCAGTATGTGAGGTCAGTCAGGTCACTGTAGAGAACCTACCATCTATTCTATCCATCTATATCAATTCATTTGTTTAATATTTATGCATCAAAATCACTTGCGATGTAAGCAGCAAGAATAGTTTGTGACTTGGTAGGGAATTCTTATATTTCGAGTTGTATTAACAGCAAACCAATTCATTTGTTTTATATTTATGCATCAAAATCACTTGCGATGTAAGCAGCAAGAATAGTATGTGACTTGGTAGAGAATTCTTATATTCAAGTTGTATTAACAGCAAACCAATTCATTTGTTTTATATTTATGCATCAAAATCACTTGCGATGTAAGCAGCAAGAATAGTTTGTGACTTGGTAGAGAATTCTTATATTTCGAGTTGTATTAACAGCAAACCAATTCATTTGTTTTATATTTATGCATCAAAATCACTTGCGATGTAAGCAGCAAGATAGTATGTGACTTGGTAGAGAATTCTTATATTCGAGTTGTATTAACAGCAAACCAATTCATTTGTTTTATATTTATGCATCAAAATCACTTGCGATGTAAGCAGCAAGATAGTATGTGACTTGGTAGAGAATTCTTATATTCGAGTTGTATTAACAGCAAACCAATTCATTTGTTTTATATTTATGCATCAAAATCACTTGCGATGTAAGCAGCAAGATAGTATGTGACTTGGTAGAGAATTCTTATATTCGAGTTGTATTAACAGCAAACCAATTCATTTGTTTTATATTTATGCATCAAAATCACTTGCGATGTAAGCAGCAAGATAGTATGTGACTTGGTAGAGAATTCTTATATTCGAGTTGTATTAACAGCAAACCAATTCATTTGTTTTATATTTATGCATCAAAATCACTTGCGATGTAAGCAGCAAGATAGTATGTGACTTGGTAGAGAATTCTTATATTCGAGTTGTATTAACAGCAAACCAATTCATTTGTTTTATATTTATGCATCAAAATCACTTGCGATGTAAGCAGCAAGATAGTATGTGACTTGGTAGAGAATTCTTATATTCGAGTTGTATTAACAGCAAACCAATTCATTTGTTTTATATTTATGCATCAAAATCACTTGCGATGTAAGCAGCAAGATAGTATGTGACTTGGTAGAGAATTCTTATATTCGAGTTGTATTAACAGCAAACCAATTCATTTGTTTTATATTTATGCATCAAAATCACTTGCGATGTAAGCAGCAAGATAGTATGTGACTTGGTAGAGAATTCTTATATTCGAGTTGTATTAACAGCAAACCAATTCATTTGTTTTATATTTATGCATCAAAATCACTTGCGATGTAAGCAGCAAGATAGTATGTGACTTGGTAGAGAATTCTTATATTCGAGTTGTATTAACAGCAAACCAATTCATTTGTTTTATATTTATGCATCAAAATCACTTGCGATGTAAGCAGCAAGAATAGTTTGTGACTTGGTAGAGAATTCTTATATTCGAGTTGTATTAACAGCAAACCAATTCATTTGTTTTATGTTTATGCATCAAAATCACTTGCGATGTAAGCAGCAAGAATAGTTTGTAACTTTTCCAACTACTTGTAGAAGTGATAGAGAATAATTATGTATGTATTTCGAGCAGTATTAACAGAACACTATTTCACCTGTTTCATATTTATGGATCGTAATCATGTGCGATGTAGTGCAAGAATAGTTTGTCAATTTTCTTGTGACTTGTAAAGAAATAGTACATTTTTTTACAGTGCTTGTTTAGAACTGAATGTTAGAATTTTCTGTCCTCAAACCTCAGCCATGTTTATACAGTATAATTCAGTGTAAGTCAGGTGTCCATATCATAAGTGTATAAATCAACTAACAGGTGATATTCAACTTCTTATTTGAGCATATTTATCATGGTTAATATATCATTATGTGAATATTCATTACCAGAAGTTGCCTATATTTACAAGTAGCTTGGTATTACGATGCGAGAGAAAGAAATTTTCTACTGAGATATTTAGTGTTGCAAGAAGTACTAGTTTGTCTCAATATTGTGACGATTTTGTAACAGTTTCATATGAATTTGTATTGGAATTTATCTCTGTCCTTAAAAAGATTATATAATGCTGAAGATTTTGGTTTACGTACACGTATGGCTTACTTTATATTTATGTTTTGTTTACCGGGTATATATATTTTGATAGTGATTCAAAGCTAATGAACCGGTTTACATTGGTACACATGATTAGTATGTGCATGCATAACGTTATCATTACACTGCAAACTCAATGGATGTGCAAGACAGAATAAGAATAGAAAAGTTAATGACATATTTTCATAAAATGCTGTTAATGAAGAAAAGCTGAAAATGTAAAATAATAACTACATGCATTTCTTATGTGTCATATGTGCAAGTTATGATAATTGTTCAGTAATGTGATCAATATTATACATATTGAATATGATGATGCCTTTGTCCTTGTGTGGATACTTTATGTCATTCAGTAAAATGATCTGTCTGCGATGTTTAGTGATGTTGTAGGGGGGGGGGGGTTAAGGCTAGAAAGGAAGGTTGAGAGAGAGATAGAGATTAAAGAAACAAAGAGGGAGAGAGAGAGAGAGAACGCAAAAGATGAGAGTGAGTGCATAGAGAAAGAAAAAAAATCATAGAGCGAGAGAGTGAAGGAGGGGGGGGGGGTTGACGTGAGAAAAAAATATGGATGACGGATACTTTGGAAAAGAGAGTCAAAGAAAAAGTTGTGATGAGCATATATTTGTATCAACATAAACAATGTTATTATTATTTTTATTATAAAATAAGTATCAGCATCATTATTGGTATAACTATTCATGAAGTTAAAATAAGAAAAACAGTTACCCCACCACCCCCCCCCCCCCAAAAAAAAAAATCCCTCGAATAGGATGTTAAATCAAGCTCAGTTCACACTTTATTCCTTAATCATGTCAATAACAAAGTTCATCATCCTGTACATCACAATATTCACCTCGAAATACAAGAGAACAAGAGAAATCCACACACATTAGGCTTATCTTCTCTATTTGGACTCAAGAGGGCGACAAACAAAATTATGATTAATATAAAGTATGATTACTAATTAATGTGCAACTTTCACGCTTGTCGATTTTGTGTGGTTATTATTCATATTTTTCTCCATCACTGTGCAAAAATTCAGGTAGTTGCCGCTCGGTGGTCACAAGAACCACAAACTAGAGCACTTTTTGATGTATGCATCCCAGTCTAATTCTCAATGAACTAAATCTTCTCAGTTTGTGCGAGTAGCTAGCTTCGTGCATAAATCTGCATAATTAAAGTGACGCAATGAGGTCAAATATATTATCACATTTCTTAAACGATACTATCGATAAAATACATATTCATGAGGCTCATATCCAATCAAAAAGCCGCCTCAGGTGCTCATTTTGTCTTCAAATGATCCAAAAAAGGCAAAGCCTAATCCCATTCGTGTCATGGTTTCCGCGTGTGCTGCTTTCCGTCTAGTAATTATATTTAAACGTCTTTGGGTTCAACCCTCGAGGCGGATCAGATCCTGTTCACGCGACATAAAATTGCAGGGTTGAAGCCGCGAGGCGGGTTGAGACCTGCATTTCTGGTGGATTCAAAAGGCGGCTTTAACCCTCGAGGCGGATCACTGGGATCCCGTTTACACACATAAAATTGCCGGCTTCAACCCTCAAGGCGGATCACTGTGTAAACAAATAGACGACACACGGCCGGCGCATTGAAAATCGGAAAAGGTCGTGCACCCGACTTTTTCAGGATTTGGGAGATACTAGCGAGCTCAGACAGAATGTGTAGCATGTTGATAGCGCGCGCGCGTATACAGGGCGTGTGCTCCACGTATGTCTGGCGTTGGTCTAGCGCGCTCTGCATGGATCTGGCGTCCTTTTGGCGTTTACATTCGTGCGTCGAGCTCCGCGCATACTTTTGAGCATCCACAAAAAATCCCGAGGCATATAGCGTATGACGTCGATTGCATAGTGTAGGTCCAGCGTTTGTCAGGCCTGGTCACACATAGACGACGCACAGGGGATTTGCAATTTTTGCCAGTGCGTTGTCGTGCGGTAGCAAGCAAGCTGGACCAACGCTATGTGTTCGCCATCATTCGCTGTGTGCGTCGGGATTGTTTGAGCATGCTCAAAAGTATGCGCGGAGCGCAACGCATGAATGTACACGCAAAACGGACGCCAGACTCACGCGGAGCACACGCCCTGTATACGCGCAGCGCGCTAGCTACACGCTGTGCGTTATGTGGCAGCTCGCTAGCTTTTCCAAAATCATGACAAACGTTTATAGGCACACGACCTTCTTCCGATTTTCAATGCGCGGGCCATGCGTCGTCTATGTGTGACCATCTCTGTCGTTCGCACGCTGGCTGAGCGTTGAGAACGCGGTGCATGCGTGGACCATTTGTCCAGCGCGCTAGCGACACGCTGTGCATCCGTGGGAGTTTTTATCATGTGCGCTCTGTGTACGGTCTGTATGCGCACTGTATGAACCCTTTACATGTATGCGCTCAGCGCGCAAGCAACGCGCTATGCATTAGGTGTCAGCTCGATGTAGCTTCCACAAAAGTTGGGCGCACGACAACGCACTTGCAAAAATTGCAAATTTTCAATGCGCGGGCCGTGCGCCTTCAGGCCTAATCCCAGGGAGATACTTGCATGTCATTGTAGATCAAGATACAAGCAGAATAGATTAAGTTGTGTAATGCTGATATCGGTGATAAGATGTTTGCCATGTGGACAAGAGAGAAAATGTGGTGAAATCGGACGCCAGACTCACGCGGAGCACACGCCCTGTATACGCGCAGCGCGCTAGCTACACGCTGTGCGTTATGTGGCAGCTCGCTAGCTTTTCCAAAATCATGACAAACGTTTATAGGCACACGACCTTCTTCCGATTTGTGGTGAAATCATAAAAAATTGTCTACATACTATAGTATTCAGGAGGACTTAAATATTTCGAAGTCTGTTTTACATTTTGATATGTCGATCGAAAACGAATAATGTAATGTTTGTTATGAATGGATCTAAATGGAAATAATATTTGATATATTTCTTTCTCTCTCTATCCACATCCCCCTTTCTCCCTTCACCTTCCATCTAATATGACTCTCTACTATCTGGGACTGTGGGAATAATGTCTGTCACCGGTTTACACGACGAAATTACAATAATAGACATAGATGAATTCCCGTTCACTATTCACGGGTTCGCTGGAGGAATTATCAATCTGATGGATACCAGACCAAATGTGTCTTTCTACTCTCTTCTCTACTTTCAATCTTCGCCTGATGACGTGCTCTTTGAGAGTCTAATCTACATCTTGTCTCCACCGGAACGTCAAGTCCAGCTAACTTTCATCGACATCGATACAACTTTGAGCGAGGAGATCGCTGTCTACGATCATCCGTCGTCCCAATCCGTGGAATACAGGGTTGCCTATATATACGGACCCTTACAGACAGGTGTAGCTGTCTTCTCGACGCAAGGTGGTCTAACGGTCGTTTACGATGACAGTAGCAGTTCCATGAATCGGCCGGGATTCCACGCTGTAGCTCGAATATTAGGTAAGGTGATCATGCCTTACAAATAAAACTAGCCCTCGTGCGGCACCACATATCGAAGGGGGGGGGGTGATATCCAAAGTACATAACATTTCAATAGCCTTATCCGCAGAATCTCCCTGAAAAACTGTTTAAGACGATTTTAAAGTCTACTGGCTGTTCAGCGACCTTTCAAACTTCTTTAGTAAGTAACGATCATTACAATAATACTTTGAGCTAGACTGTATTGGAATCGTTCTTTTGCCAATATCCTATCTTTCTCGACAGACAATTCAAGATGAAGTTACTTCTTTTTTTTAGAGTTGTTTTTGTTTTATAACATATGCCATTTTGTAACAGTCCGTTCTATTAATTTCGTGCTTACAGTAACAAATGCAAATATCTGTGATGATGGGTGTAATACGATGTATAATGAAACAAGAAACTAGATATCTTGACTGCTGGACAAAAATGATAACCTGACATTAGGTTTATACATTAGTAAAAAGGTTTCTTCTAATCATCAAGCCATATCCCATACAACTAATGTAAGGAATAAGACACAAATTCCAATGCGTTTAAGTTTCATTGTGTCTTGCAGATATCATTCCATCGGCTCAGTCTGGATTCTGTGGTGGAACGATCGCTCTGGACCAATCGACACCAATGTTAAGTTTCTCGTCACCCCTTTACGATATGCCATCCATAGCAGATGTTCATGTGGATTGCAGAATGCATATTACATGCCCTGAAGGGAAGCAGGTACGACTGAATTTTCTTAATATCCAGACAACTTCCAGTCAGAGCATCTCTGTGTATGACCACCCTGCCTCGTTGACAACAAGTATTGCTTTCTTCCTCGGTACTCTTACGGCACCATCATCGGTGTATTCTTCTGCAGGAGGGTTGACAATCACCTATGACGATGACAACTCTGCATCCAACGGACGTGGATTTCTTGCTGAAGCACGCATTCTAGGTACACCATTCCAATTGCAGTTATCTAGTTTTTCCAAAAATGTTACTATTTTGAATCATATTTATGTGTAAAATTATCAACGACATGGAAAAGTAAAGCCAGTGGCGAAGAGGCAATATGATGGGGCCAAAAGGAACAATCTTGTATTAACAGATTTATTAGTGGCTAAAAATGCACTTCCTTCTGAGTCGAAATATGAATTTGTCGGGGAGTTACCATTTGGCCGAAGGTTCACTTTAAAGGCCCCATCAGGGGCAAGTTCCTTAGTCTTGTGGCATTATGTCTACTGGACCATTGGTTTATAGAACTTCAATGAACTTCAATCAACCATACGCTTATACAGATGTATATCAACCAGGGCCTTGTTATCAATAATACGTTAAAATAACTGCTGTAAGCTATTGAAATCGAGGCATTTGATTGTCTGAGAGCAAATTTGTCATTAAACTTTAGCATTAATTTGTTATCGATAACAAGTTTTCTTATTAAACTGAGACACGGTATTTACATGTACCTCAAAACTGCTATCGTTCTCATTCAAAATTTGTTGCCAATGGTTTATGATGCCTGACGACGACAACAAGATCTGAGGCACGTAAAGCCAAACTCATTTTACAGTGGCCATATCTAGGTTTGTTGGATCACTGGTTTCATAGAACTTTAAAATGATCATTTGCTTTTTTATTATCACTCCTGTTCGAAATCATTTAAAAATGAGTAAATCCAGCATTTATTCCATTTTTGTTTCGTTAAAAGGATAAGGTTAAGTTTTGGGCTGCTATCGGGCTTCTTGTTAGGTTTAGGGGTAGGGTTAGGGTTAGGTATAGTATTTGGTCCCGGGTTGGAGTTAGAAACTCGGTTAGGGTACGAAATGACCGTGGAGCAATTGTCGCAGGACCTTGTGTCGT